CACTGCCCTGGGAGGGGCATCCCCTGCAATCCCTGTGTCCCCCCAGGCACGATGGCAGCGCTGTGGCACGGCCCRGGCTCCGGGGAGCCGCAGCAAAGGGAGCTGCTGGTCCGGAGCCCCGGGGGAGATGCTGCGCCTCCCGAGCCCCCGGCACACCCGGGGCAGGCGTGGGTCAAGGTTTATGGGGCGTTTATCGATGGGTGGCGAGGAAGGACCATCTCTGCTCCTCCTCCTGCTAATCCCCCGATGCTCCCCCGTTGATCCCCGGGGCCGGGGGGCACCGAACCCCTCCCGGCCGGACCTGTTGCCCCCCGCCTCCATCCCCTCGCCCGGCSGCGCACACAAAGGCCGCCGCTCGCCCAGCCCGGCTCTCCCACCGCCAGCACCGGGGGCTCCCCCACCTCCTCTCCCGGTGCTGATGGAGCCCCCCGGGGATGCTCCCCGGGATCCGCGCGGCCGCGGCGCGGGTGGATGGGGGGTGGGGGGGGGACACGGGGACACACGGACACAGACGCGGCTGTGGCGCAGCTGCGCGCGGCCGCCCAGCCCCGGCCCCGCCGCGCGCGGTCCGGGACGCTTCTCCTCGGCGGCCGCTCGCCCCTCACGCCCTCACGCTCTCCGTGCCGCCCTCACTCACCGCGGCCGCACCGAGCGCGTCCCGGCGCGGACCGAGCGCGGCGGCCGCCGACGCGCACAGAGCCCGCAGCGCCTCCCCCGCCCGCCGCCTGCTCCCTCCCCTTATACCCTGCCGGCGCTGAGCGACACGGCCGTCAACCAATCAGCGCCCGCCGGCACATAGCAACACGCCGCTGATTGGCCGGCGCCGGCCGCAGCCCATTTTTCACGGGCCAGTCAGAGGGCGGCGCTGGCGCGGCGCTCCCCGCCCCGCCCCTCGCGCACCGCCGGGCCCGCACGCAGCGGCTGCGGCAGCCAATGGGAGCGCGGCTCGCGCGGCCGCACAACAAACACAGCGCGGCCTCTTAAAGGCGCCGCGCCCCCCGCGGGAGATGCGCGCAGGATGCGCGGGGGTCCGGYCCATCCCCGGGGGTCCCGGTGTTCCCGGGTCTCAGGGCCACGGAGCAGGGAAAGGAGGCGGCTGTGGTCACTTTCCAATGACTGCGTGTTTTTTTCCGTCTTTTCCCCGCGCTGGTAATTAGAGCACTTTAATAAATGGGGGGTAATTAGCGGTGTCTGGTGCGCGGGGGGCGCTTGGGTCGCCTTCGGGGGTGGGGGAGAAGGGGCAGAGCACAGACACAAAATCCACCAATACCAACCCAAAATCCACTAGTACGAGCTGCAAAATCCACCAGTATTAACCCCAAAATTCATCAATATTAACATTCCAAATCTACTAATATTAACACCCCAAATTCACCAATACCAACCCCAAAATCCACCAGTATTAACCCCATAATTCACCAATACTTCCTCCAAAATCAACTTCCTCCAAAATCTACTTCAGTATTAACCCCATAATTCACCAATACTTCCTCCAAAATCTACTTCCTTCAAAATCTTCTACTTTCCCAAAAACCCACTAATACCAATCCCCAAATCCTCCCCTCTTAACCCTCAAATCCACCAAYATTAATCCTGCTTCTCCAACACACAACAGGGGTAATTGCAAATGAAGATATTCCATATTTCTCCTGGAATTCTCCATCCCACCCCTGGCCATGAATTTTTCCAGCAGTGATTTTGGCAATTTTTTTTATCCCACCACTGCAGAGGTGCTCACGGAGCCTGAGCACACACAGAACAAACCCCAATGAGTGCCACGGCACAATTAAATGCCATCCCCTCARAGMTCTGTAATTAAGACACGAGCACCCAGCAGCTCAGGATGAGGTAATTTGAAGGCTTCTCCCTGCACGTTTTTATTCCCTGCTCAACCTTTGAGTGCTAATAACAATAATTCAGKGTATAAAGTACAGGTTTWATAATCCCAGAATGGTTTGGGGTGGAAGGGACCTTGAAGTTCATCCCATTCCACTCTTCCCACTATCCCAGGTTGCTCCAGCCTGGCCTTGGACATTTCCAGGAATGAGGTTTTTTAATTAATATTTTCTGTCTGTCCATTTCTCACATCCAAGGATTAGTGTTCTACATTTAAGGGGCTTAGGAAATGTATTTGCTTTATGAGATTATTCTTGTTCTAACACTCCCTGCTTATGCAAATTCTTAATGATMTCTTACAGAATTCCTTAATTKGTAATTCCTGGTAACTATAAGAGCAATGTTCTGGCTCAAATRTTAAATATATGGACTAATAAAGGGTGACACAAGTAATAAAAGGTGACACAAGGCAATATTCCTATTAATTGTGATTTTTTTGTGGACAAAACAACATTCTATCTTTGTGCTATAAATTCTTTTTCTTCTACACAAGCAAGCCCCACCCCTCTGATCACATTACCGAGCCAGCTGGTGAAGATTCCACAACCAGATTTTAAATACTAAATGACATTTTTTCCCCCTTTGTACACTTTAAACGTGCTGTTAACGAAGATTCGAGCACCAGGGTAGGTAGCAGCTATTAAATAACCGAATAAAGAGGGAAAATTCTCATGTTATCTTTAGACAGCTGCAATAAGAACCTGCTTTGAAGGCTTAGTTTAAGCTTCTTCTTTTCTTAGATAACCTCCTTCCTTCCCCAGSCAGCAGCAAAGAGCAAACACTTTTTTTCAGCCCCTCTCCCCAGTGCTAACAGCTCTGCAGTTTAGCAGATCTCGACGAGGTTATCAGCAGGAAGTGGTGACAGAATTTACTTGAACTTTAATTTACCCAGAAACCACAAGAAACCATCAGCAAAACAAATTTACTTCATCACGAGGCTGCTGCACAGCAGTGAAATTATTTTTCCCCCACCTGTGCAGAATTTTCAGTTTGTTAATAAAAATACATTCTTATTAACAAGGTGAACATGAAGATTCTTTATATACAAAGGTTTCTGTTGTAATAAGATTWAGGGTGGTGATTAATTGGAATTATATTGCTTTAAGTCCAGCATTACCATGGAAATCTGGGGGCTCACACAGCTCTGAAGTTGTAGTAAAATATCACCATTTAAAAGCTCAAATTTCTTATTTTCTAACCCCTATGATTTATAAAAACTTGAAGGATTTTTGGGATAGCAGTGTTTTATCAGCAGCATTTCACTCACTTTTTAAAAATAAAATGTTGGTTGGGTAAAATGCTACTTATTAAAGCTTCAAGTCCTATTTTCTCATTTGATTCTGGGTTACAGAATTTTTGGTTGCAAACTTTGCAAGCACAACTTGAGCAGCACCATGAAAACTTTTACTGGGCTAAGCTTTAGGTAAATCTATTAATTTTTTTAAAAAAAATCTGAATTTTGGCTCTGCAATATTTGACAACTTAGCTTTGAAATGAACCACTAAACAAGATTTTTTACTTTACAATTTGCAAACACTCCTTTTTTGGAGTCTGAGCAGCACAGCTACTGTTTTTTCCTGCTCAGTCTGACATCAGTTTAAACTTTAATTTTCATTTGGGCAGAAAAAGCCCAACTGATCAAGCATCAGTGCCTGGGGGAAACTTTTGCCATCGAAATACTGAGAGGGGAGAAAGTACCAGATCACCCATGGAGGTATTGCCTCAACATCTTGGGAATCAGGTGTGTTTAAATCCAATAAGAATCTTTTGGCACTCTCAAAATTTATTTGCAGCAGGTGTTAATCAAGATAAATCAGCTGMTATTACATTTTTTCTTTCTTTATGAAGTGGGAACACTTTAAATTTTTTTTTTCAGAGACATGAGGTAACATCCTCAAGCAGTTCAGATATTTCCACCATTAACAGAAATAAAGTTTTTTCTCCCAATTTGTAGCATCGATATTTTTGGTCCAACAAGAAACCAGCCAGCATCCCCCAGTGCTTCATCCTGCTCCAAAAATCACCAAAACGTGACCGTGCAGCTGTAAAACTCAATACCTACAGATCACTTGTATTCCTTACCAACATTCCAGATTTTAGAATTAGCCACTCCCCCGTGCATAAATCCACAGTCCAGCCTAAGAAAAACGATGGCAAAAACTAGAATTTGGAAGCTTTTGATGCAGCTCTGCACTATGGAAATGCACGGGGAACGCGYGGGCTGGGGCGCCCTCCCGCGGCACGGATGCCACATTCGAGATTTGATTTCCTATAAAATTTCATCCCCCTGGAATTCCAGGGGTAAACGAATATAAAAAAAAAAAAGTATCCTGAAAATTACTTAAAATACCTGCACCTCGAGGCTTCTTGCTCTGGATAAACTGCTGGGGATTCTGAAGTGGTTCTGACTATTTTGAGCTGCAGAATGATAGGTGACAGCACCTGAAGTGATCACAGAAATATACTTTCCACGTTAAAAGAATGTGAACATTCCCTAATGCTCTCCAATTCCAATTTACTAAACATTTAGGATGTGTTTTAAGAAATAAAACCCCATCCAGAGCCACCTGGGGAATCCTCTCGCTGGGGATTCTGAAGTTTTTCTGAGTATTTTGTTTGAGCTGCAGAATGACAGGTGACAGCACCTGAAGTGATCACAGAAAAATACTTTCCACGTTAAAAGTATGTGAACATTCCCTAATGCTCTCCAATTCCAATTTACTAAACMTTTGTGTTTTAAGAAATAAAACCCCATCCAGAGCCACCTAGGGAATCCTTTCATCAGCCTGGAAAAATCCTTTTGAAGTTACTAAATATTGTAACATACAAACCCCCACTTCACCTCTCTTACCTAAATATGAACCCTCAAGGCTTTCAAATTACACTTGACCTTAAAACCTAATATTTAATGTAATTTAATGGCAATCCAGGAGAAAAGCTGGAAATTTACCTTTAGGATTAGAGGAAGTGTTATCCATCATCAGAAAGGACAAAACCATGCTACAAAGAATTCCTGTGAATACAAACTCAAACCAATCATACCATAAACACAAAATCAGTCAAGAAATTAGGTTTTTAGGGAAAGAAGTCACAACTAACAAGCATTCAGTTTTAGATCTTTTAKGAGCAAAGATGTTTGTATGTGCCACATTTCAAAAGCATCGAATCTTTCTTCACATGAAAAGAAAAATCACTTCATAGCTTTGGAGCTAGAGAGGTCCACGAGACTTTCTGCAAATTAAAAGTGCATGAAATACATGCATCATCCTTCATACATAAAATTTGCAACRGAGTTGAGAACACAGTGTTAAAACAATATTTAGAGTTAAAAGTACCTGAAAAGAATCTCTCCTTGGAGAGAGAGATTWACTGAACATCCTCCTGGACAGTTGTGCAAGTTCTCAACAAAAGCTTTTCTGTACAAGTGGTTTAAAAATCACACAGCGAGTTCTGGAATATTCAAAACAAGGATTTGGTACAACAAATGTTTTACAGTTACCTCATTTCCATGTTATTTTGTTACAAACAGTTATCATGGCCTAAGCCCTGTGCATTGGTGCTGGGATTCATCCATGGAACATTATCTGTCTCAAGAGATCAAATCTGAGCTCTTGTACTAAAGCCCAAACAGGTGAATGAATAAATCCAGCAGCTTTTTCAGCTCTGGATCCTTTCCCTCCCAATCGAATTTCAGATATTGAGCAGCAGATTTATCCAATGTATAAACAGCACAGTCAGAAACCACATCAGATGTAGGGACACTGGTTGTCTTTACAAAAATGTGGTTGAGAATCTTAGAAGGCARGAATTTCCAACTCTACTAGAGAGGAAAAATACTAAAATTAAATTTAAAAACACTTGTCATTTCAGTACCTGTGTTTCATCATYCAATATAGAATAATGGCAAATTATTTATTGAGTTGTGAGGGAAACTTGAGATAAAGTCAGTCAGAAATCAAAACTGGTATTTTAAAACTCAGCTCTACCTGATGTAAACAAAATTTTAATATGYAAGTACTATTTGATGGTATCCTCTAAACCAGAATTAAATTTGCATCTTCATATTGATGCCATGTGTTGGAACTTCAATARTAATAAAATTGAATTTATAAAAAATACATTGCATAAAAACTATCTGGAGCTACAAACTGCTAATAACCCAGATCAGGACAGAAAGGTGGAATTTTTTAATTTACTTACTGAGCTGCATGTGGAACATATTCTACAACTATTGAGTGACTTCTAGAAAGCAGGCAGAGCTGTGACTTGACTGARTATTAGCATTTATGTGACCAGACAGAACTGGTCTGAAAGGGAAACAGAAAGCTTAGTACCTAATAAATAATTTCATCCTTTTTCCCCCATGAACAGTTAGGAAGTTACATTTTCCTCTCTTCCATTCAATAAGCAACAAGGCTGATTAAATTAGGAGGAAATTGAATCTGCAGTCATCTTCACCAGGCAGATATTCAAAAGGACAACATTAACTGATTYGCCCCCATTACCACATGTTCACTTGAATTCAAAATGCAGTCGTTTTTTTCCATTTCATCCAGACATATTCCTCAGCAAGGAACTGGAGTGCAGAAACAAACACTGTCCATGCAGGTGGATTTGGCATTCACAGAGGCAGTGGAACAGCAAAAATGCTCCACAATTACAAGTATGGCACAGCAGCCAGAGGGGTGAAACATGAACACTCCCAAATCTGAGCTACCAAGGGCAAAAAAATGACTTAAAAATCAACTTTTAGCACAGTGGGTGCTAAAATTGCAGTAAATACACATCTGGCTACTGTGTTTATTATTAAGATCTGTCATTTTTTCCTTCAAAAAACAGACACTGCTAGAACAGAACTCTTGTTCAGGGGAAGCATCTGATGATTCAGTGACTGAGCTCTACACATTGGTGTAATTAGGCCACAGTAATCAAACTCCTTCTGAATCTCCCAGCACTGACAYGAGCACACCAAGGCACACGGGCACTGCAGGCTCCAACCTGTCTGACACATGGATAACTCCTGCTCACAAGGACAGAACAGCATGGGAAGCTTCCAGAAATATCTTCCTGYCCAACCCCATTCCATCATACCTKGGGTTTCCTGGCTTTTGCCAGTTAKTTCTGTGTCCATGCACATAAATTTAATGGATATTGAGTGGACTTTTGTGGAGAGAAAAGACTGAAGTCTACACACATTCTAGACTGACACTTCCTCCCTTTACAACTATACACATATATCTGCTTTGGGTGAATTCACTTAACAGGAACATTTTCATTTGTCCCTGAAACTCCTGACCAAACTTAAATCTTCTTTGGTCCCTCACCCTAAAAACAACTTCCCGTTCATTAAGAACCACAAATGTGCAAAAGACTTTTAGGACATTGTGAAAAGGCTATTTCAAAGTGAGTGTAATCTGTAAGAAGTGCAATTYTCCATCCTGGAAATCCAGCTAAGGTAGCCTGACAGGGGCAAACCTGGACCCTGCAGTGGAACTCGGTGTCAAACCCAGATCCTGACTCAAATACTGTACTTAGACCTGGACCAACAAGTCACAGTATTGCCATCACCTCAGAAAGGGTCTAAATCCAGTTCCAACTCAACATTCTTGTCAGTGAGAATAATGGAKTCAATCTACACTGAGTTAACTTTAGCTAAAAAGGGATCACCTTCACTATCACTACCTGCCCAGACACAGAGTCTGCTTTGCTATTTCTCCTGTGCCTGTTTTTATTTTTTTTCTCTAGAAGTGATCTGAAATCTAAAAGCAACACAAGAAATGCAAACACACAGGCTACACTTTCAGAAATTCTTCAGTTTCTGCTCACTAGAATATAACTGGAATAACTGAATTCCTGACAGCTGCTTAGAACACTTGTGACAGGTAAGATAATGCTTATTATCTACATGTACCTTATCAGGCAACTTTCTTCCTAATCATCATCATTTGTGAAGTGTGCTGTTGCTAAATGAGCTATTTACAAATGTAAACTATGTCATTAAAGTTTTAAAATAAATAGGCAACCTTTACATTAGGTAGTGACTTGACAACAAGGTAACAGATCATCAATTACATCTTCCCAACATAAATGATCTGTGCATGCTGCCCCCATTTATTTTCTTAATGAGGAAAATCCTTGGCTCACAATCTGCTCCAGAAGAACTYTCTGAGTTTTCTTCCTTTATGCTGGATAATTATGTAAGAACTCCTTCAGTTTTGTTGGATAGTCTGTCATCACTCCAGTAGCTCCAAGATCAAATGCTCTCTTGTATTCTTGTTCTTCATTCAGTACCCAAATGTACACCTAGRAAATGGGATACAAGAATCAAGTTATTACAGGAAAAAATAAATTTTTATAAGGGAATTTTAGACCTAAATTGTTTCATCTGAGGGAGATATTGCAGCATATTTAAAATGATAAATAGTTAGAATGTGATGCTGCACACAAACACACACAACTTTTCCACCTCACCTTCTCAAAGGGACATTTTTTGTGCTGACCTTCTAAAAGTGAAAATAYAATTTTGTGAAAACCCCACAACAGATAAGGCTACAAAATCTGCAAAACTGGTTAAGTTTGAAGTCGGAAAAAAACTCAGATTTGAAAGGATTTAAAGGACAAGGTCTTTTACAAACCTTGCTTTGCAACCACTGCAAATATAATAGCAGCAGCTTTTGCTCAGGAACTGAACAGAAACTTAGGGTCCCAGAAGCACCAAGAACATGCTGGGGGGAACAGGAACTAATTTGAAGGCTGGGTCTGTCTGCTTTGAATTCTCATTTTAGCTCTGCCCCACTGTACCTGGATGCCCCGAGCCGTGAGGTGGTCAAACAACGCCTTCCTCATCAGCAGCCTGGGGAAGGAGAGGGAGATTAATGAACAATTTCAGATATAAATGGAATTTCAGAGTCTGCTGATGTCCTGAAATGAAGCTTCCMTACAGTGTGTARAGTCAATGTTTTCCACRAGTGATTAGAAAGCTGATTCTAGAAAATTTCCATTTGAAAGATCAAATCCAGCAGACAAATCATTCATTTTACAGGTACCTTACACCATGTCTGATGAACCAACCACTTTGCTTTCAGCAGAGATTTTATCCTTCACCCCAAAAGACATGAAAATGTCCTGGCCACTGGAGAAATTAAACTAACAGATGTCAGAGAGACACTAAAAACCCACGACTGAATTCCCTCGGAAGCAGAGTTATTCTTAAAATGCAAAGTGTTCCTTGTAAGGCAAACRGTGTCTCTCCTCTGACAACATGATGGAACAGTCACATGAATRAAATCTGCATTCTGCATCTAATTGCATGTTAATTAGCTGAGCACACTTAAGGACAGAAGCTTAACAGACACAATTGGAATAATGCCCACTGTTACTGCAACTTAGGATGCTTCAGTGTGTGGAAAATATAAGTATAAAGCACACCTAACTGAGCTTTGAATATGATTGATCCTGCACTGACAAAAAGCTGGAAGAAACTGCAAAAATATAATAAAGCATAGATGTAGCAATAGCTGATCTTAGTTGCTTGAGTCAACTGTTAATATAAAGGTAAAAYATAAATAAAAATTTAATCAGATGAAAATCTTACGTGTCAGCCAGCCAGATAATAAATTTCTGGCTTCTTGACATCTTCGTTGGTTCTTTCAGCCTGTTGAGGAAGAGGAAACAAAAAATTATCAGAGCACAGATTAAAATATCAGTTGAGATGTTCCTGCACAAGGAACACGAAGAATTAATCTTGCTCAAATTAGAGCAGTAATTTCACTGCTCAAGACAGTGACTTAGAATTGGGTTATACAAGAGAAATGAGCTACATTTAAGAGAAGCAGCAGAGATGGAAATTCTGCAGCATTTTGAGTGAAAAATGAGAGAGATTGTGAAATCTCATATCCACCCTATTGCTGACTTGYCTCTTGGCCCTCATCAGGCTAATCTGTTCTCAAGAAAGAGGGAGAAAAGAGCAAGAAGAATTAATTTAAACTACAGAACTGCTATGCATTACTGCACACAGAATTCTCTCAGGAATATCCAAAAGTGCCTAAACCAACARAAAAGTAACCTCAGGCCAAGGACACCACCAAAACCAATGCCCAAGGAGGCATCATGGTTCACCTTCTGTTCACTCATGCCAATGCAGCATCCACTGAGGGGCTGTAACTCACTTGAGGATGATGGAAGGCATGGGAATCTCAAAGAACTCCTCCTTGAAGGGAATGAATGGCAGCAGACCGGTGTAGAACAGGCCAAGAAGCAGGAGRACACGTTGGGCACAGAAGATGATGGGAATTTCAGAGTTCTGCAGGGAAGAGTCTATGTTATTTTGGTAAATTGTTGAGTCTGATACAATTAAATTTACTCATCAATGCATGTCTAAAGTTCAGCACTCAAGATTAATCTGCCTTTTACATATAAAACTAACTGCTGTTCAAGAAGGAAATGGGGTGKTGTTCTGCAGAGATAAAATAATCAACTACATTGAACTATGAATTGGATTGATTCCATTCAGATGCATGACTCTCTTGGACTAAGCACAATTTTAATTTAATTCTGAATTGTAAAATTCCTCAGCACARAAAGAAGTAGAATGATAGCTGTGAAACAACAGCTTTATGCTGGTACAACTGTGTCCACTAGTGGCCACATCCATTATTTCCATGCAAATAAACAGATAATAAGCAATCCTTGGAAAAATTGCTTTTTATCAGATGAATGATGTGCAAAACAGGCTCTAAGAAGTCCCAGCATAAAAATGCAATGTCCTATATTTCATAAAACCAGAATAAAACATGACTAAGCTTAATTCCTCCAGTATTTTATGGCAGGGTAGAGGGGTGTTTACTGTGCTTGTCTTATTTTAGCAGTACAGCAAGCAGAATACCATCCAAGCACAGAATTTCTCACCACAAGCAGCAGCCTGGCCTAGCAAGTTAACTCTTRATTTTCAGGGTGCTTTTCTGGAGGTTTTGTCAGCACACAAAGCTTAGCTGGACTCAGCCTTACCTCCTTGAAACACTTGGATACAATCTCATAATTGACATTCCCCCACACGGTCAGGTGCTCTCTCTTGTACTGACTCACCAGCTCTGAGACCTGCAGCACAAAAAGCACAACTCTCACGTGGAGTCACTGGAAATTAAGTGCAGCATTATTTAACTGAAACTTTACTTCCTTTGGAAATCATTACAGAAAAAGAGTTTCCTACTCTCTCTCATTGTAAGAGGGTTGTGATGCTTTGATAGGAAATAAACAGGTGTTCAGGACAATGATAAAAATATCATTATAGCTGCAAAAAAACCCAAAGAATTTAAGAAACCTAAATGATAAAACAGTATTTATTGGAAAGCAGATTTCCTTCTCTGTTTGAACACATCCACACAATAACATCATGGTTTTATGCTGCTTTGGGGGGTAACAGTCACGAAGAAAACCCTTCCCATGAAGCACAAACCAAACACATCTCCAGCAGTGCTGGAGCAGTTTCTCATCCACATGAAGAGTCCTAAAGAGCTTTTTGCTGAGTTTCTTGCACAAGATCCCTTCTCTGTCTCCTGCATTACCTCACAAAGGGAGCAAGATCCAACATGTGAAGGGTGAAGCAGTCCAGACTGCCACCCCTCCAAGAAACTTTTCTTTTGGAATACATCATTATCCCATTGCCTTCTCAGCTCAGCACCCACTCTCACAAACCTTTCTGATCAACACGTTGTTGTTCATTTTGATGTCAATGTTGACAGGAGTTTCTGGAAATGCCTCAAACACCTCTTGCAGGAGCGGGATACGATTGTCCTTCCCCTCRCACTGACTTTCTGGGGAAATGAGAAATTTGTCACTGCTGTGTCCACTTTTAGCAAATAGATAAAAGCAGAAATCTCAGAGTGCTCATGACCTTAAAACTTTATWAAAAGTTCCTAAGATTATCAYGCTTTTAAACAAAAAGTGACTTCATTCAGCTGYAATTAACTMTGACAAGCTCATTTCCATAATGAAAATGCCCTGAGCATGTTGCACATTCAGGTTTTAACTTCATGAAATTCACTCATTATTTAGCAACAGTAGGAGTGCAGGCAATGTTAAAATCCTGAAATAGCAAACACAGGCTCAGTTACCACACACCAAATGCAACGAGATTAATGTGAAAAAGACCAAATGAGAACAAAATTTCTTTCTGAAGTAATTACTGTACTGTAATGGATTCTACAGCCAGGATTATATTTTCCTTTTAAAACTTCTCTTATTATGATATTGAGAGAAGTAAATCCACTTTCCTACTCTCTTTGCCAAAGCAGGAAACTGCCATGCTACAAAATGGAAAATTGAAACAGCAAGAGATAAACATCTCACCTTTCTGAAATGTGACATCCAACTTGCAGAGATAGGGTGGAAGTTCCTTAAAAACAAAGAGAAATGGAACATTAATTCAAATGCAGGGATRTAACATGACATTTCTCCAAAAAAGTAAAAAAAATATAATTTATAAGCCACTTATCTTTAAAATCTTCTCACCCAAGAAAGTGATTTAGTAGCAACACTTTCAGTATTACTTAAACTATCTGGCATTCTTAGATTTGTGTCACCYGTAGCTGAATAAGGCAAAACATTCCCAGATGCCTGAGAATACTGAAAATTCCACTCTCAAGGCAGGAAGGATTCATCTCCCAATTTTCCCATTAAAAAGCTGGTCACACCAGGAACAGCTTTTTGATTAACCCTCCTCTGTCATCAGCTCCAGARTTATTGTTGATTAACCMTCCYCTGTCATCAGCTCCAGAGTTATTCATTCAGCCCAATACTGGAGGAGTTAAACACCCACTGGAATGTGCCAGGTTGGATCCTCTGACTGCACAGGGACTTTGGTGAACTTTGAGGGTGGTTTTCTGGTTTGTTTTTTTTTAATCAAGATGAATCCTCCCCTTTGGTTTTGGGCACCAAAACACACACAGCCCCATGTGCAACCCACAAAWGAATTTTTCAACACCCCTCAGCCCATTTTCTCTTCAACTCACTGAGTATTTRAGGTCAGATATGTTAACATCAACTCCTGTCGATCTCTTCAGGTTCTCATCATGGGACACAACCACTTGCTCATCTTTTGTCAGGTGACAATCCAGCTCCAGCATATCCGTCCCCAAATTCACTGCACTGCAAAGAAAGTTTGCTTTGAACACTTGTGTGCTTYGTGCAGCTCCAAACCCAACACATTCCACAAACTAATCCCACTGGAAGCACTTTGGATGCTTTATGGGGTGAGGAATCCTCACAATCCTGCTRCAAAGCAAGGAGCAAACAGTGGGGAGCTGATGCAAGAATAAACAACATCTYATGAAGCAGAGATGATGTTTTTGGCTCTGTCTCCCAAAAGAATCAGGAAGCAAACCTATGGATTGCAGCCTGCCAGCTCAGGATTGAGAAACCTGCTCCTAAAGGATTGGTTCACAATTTGGAGCGGGGTGTTTATGAGCAGCAGTGCATCTGCCCACTGGAGGAAGTGAGGTTTTGAAAAGAGTAATTAAATTTGTGGTAAGGAACTACAAATGACAAGGGTGTGAAAGCTGCCTTTTTTTTTTACTTGATTTATATTAATTAGGAAGGGATGGATCAGGAAATTAGCAGTGGGAGCTTTCAGCCTTTTGAATAGCAAAATTACCTAAAACTATTATTTTAACAAAAAAGTTTAAATTTAAATTGAAAATTAAATAAATAAACCAYTAAACATCCAGTCATATTTTTCAAAGAAAAATACCTATTCCTGTTCCAACCCACTGCTTTGAAAAGTTCTAATCCAATCTCAAATCTATTCCATTGCAAATTAAGTCGTATCAGAAAGCAGACAGTAATAATGATATTGATGAAAAATAAGTACAAGAAACCTCACACCAGAATTAAAAAAAAAAAATTATTGCAATGAGAAATGAATTGCTCATTTAACTAGAAAGCAGGTGTCATTCCAGCAGACAGATAAAAGCCTAAACTCTTTCCTCAAAACCTTCTTTTTTATCCACCCCAGAGCAAACCTTCCTTTTATCCACCCAGAGCTCTGTAAATTCAGTAACAGCCTTTTCTTATGGGCTTTATTGGCTGCTGAACACAGGCCATGAACATCCACAAAGGCAGGAACATATCAAAAAAAAMCAAACAAACAAAAAAATCAGAACACACTCCCTAAAGTGTTTAACACAATTTCTGGTCCAGCTGGGAAAATGATCAAGAGGAGGGTTGTCAAATTAAAASCAATTTGTGAACTGTTTTCCAGTGCTGCTAATTAAGAATTAGGAGAGGAACAAAATCCTGTTACATATGGAAGAATCACAGGCTGTTCTGGGTGATTTTATCCTCCTGAGGGAAAGCATCTCCAAATCTGCTGCAGGAGATTTGCCAAATTTGTAGATGTTCCCATGTAGTACCATGTTTTATCATTTCACCAGCGAGTTTTATTAGCAATATTTCTTGCTTAAGAAAGCCAGGGCTGATGCTGCATGGAAAGGGGAGAACAACAACTTTCCTTGTTAACAAATTTGAGGCTTTGCCARGCCCTTAGAGCAGCTCACTGCTAAATAAGCTTCCTCAAGTGCTGAGCTTTCCCAGCTGGAAACCAGTTTGTTCTGTCAAATTCACACWGCTCCAGAGAAGGCTCCAGATTCAGAACATCATTGTGGATTCAGATCCAACTGCTCCAGAACTCAAGCTGTGAGGCAGGCTYGCATTTGCAAATTAGGATGAGAGTGCTCTTGCTTAAAATCTGTTATTTTATAATCTAAAGCCACCACAGAAGTATTTAAACAGKGTAGAACAAGATTACACCTCTCCCCTTAATAATACATCTATTATGTATTTTACCGAATTAAACAAAACAAAATATTGTCTTTGAGACAAAAAGCTTGTAATTGCCTTCCACAGTATTTGTAAATTAAGCAGTACAGAAACTGAAATTGCCAATAAAGGTCTCCTCCCCCCATACACACATTCTCCTCTGGATTCAGCCACAGCCAAATATTCCTGTGCAAACCTGTAGGAACAGCTCCTGCAGACACGCCCTGTTTGGCTTCACACAGAATCTGATGGATTATAAATTGATCAGTTTGTATCAGCTGTTTGAACCAATCCTGAGCATTTTTCACCATTACATCACTGATTTTCCATCCCATTCCTTTTGCTACTTTACTTTTGAAAATGGGAATGAGCCAAGGGGAAGGACAAAACCTCTACCCCTTCCCAGAAGAAGCCAGAAATGTTTCCAGTGCCTAACAGGAGGTGATTGCTCTCATTCCTGCAGAGGTACCATGGTTCTGCTTACTCAACTGAACTTTGCTATTGACAGCTGTGATGAGTTCAAAAACTGGACCTCAATGCATTTGTTCCACCACAGCTGTAAAATAATTAAAATGGGCAGAAGAGAGTTAGAAAAGCATTATTTCAAAATGTATCACCAATCCTTACTCTAAGTACTACAGCTTATTTGTGGGAATAAAATAAAAATAGGTTATGGTGTAACTTCTTTTGCAAGAGCCCTTCATGTGGAGAATGAGCCTGGTATGAAATGAAATTTAAGAAATGGTTAAAAAAAAAGAAAGAAGCACTTTGCAAAAAGTCTGGGAGCAGACTTGAGAAAAGGCAGGCCAGTAGAAAAAAAAAAACCAACAAAAAGCCACACAAAACTATGCTCAGCTTCCATGGAGATAGAAAATAGTGCAGTACTTTCTTTTATTTGGTTGGGAAAGCTGGCACTTCTCAGGCTGCAGGGAAACAGCAAACGGATGAGGCTCCTTAGCACAAAGAAAATTAGAAAAACCCCAAACAAAACAAAGAGGAGCCCACATAATGTGGTCCCTTCTCAGCAGCAGCTGGAGTTKTAGATATGCTTCTTTCTCAAATGCCTTTGAGAACCTTGTTAAAATTCACTACTTAAATGCTGGAGGCTTAAAAGGCTTTCTGGTCCCAACTCCATTTTAAACCCCTGGGTAAGAGGCTTTCACACATTGCGTGACTGCAGAGTGTGTGTGCAGGAAAATAACATCAACAGCAGCATTTTTAGCTTTATAATGATAAATAAATTAATAGAAGTAATCACYATTAAGCACAGTATTGTTTGCTGCTTTATTGGCTAGCACTGATCAGGCCTCAGGGGTTTGTTTCCATTTGTTATTGTGCACAGACCATAATTTGTGGGATCCCAACTCCTTCTGGTGAAACTGGAGTGGATGTTTGGCAATGCAAGGAGTCATYCAGAGGAGAGATGACTTTCAGAAATAGGACACTGTAACACCAAAGAACTGATGAGAAGTCCCACCTCCCTTGATTGCTTCACTCACTGAGAATGCCTAATTTAGGCATTCTCATCCTTTTGTACTCACTGGTGAAAGGCTGCCATTGTGTTTTCCAGGTTCTCTCCAGCACCTACAGAAAAAGCAAAAATAAAACATGTACAAAATCYTTTTCCTCCCCTCAACCCACTGGAAATCAATTTTAAAAATAACAGATTTCAAAATGTACATATTTTGAAAAATGAGGATGAAGCTCAAGGCAAAAATCTCCATTGCCACCAACCTACCAGAGACACATAACCTTCTCCAGGTAAAAATAATTAAAAAAAAAGAACTTATCTTGCATTTGCGTAACACTTTGAATATTCAAAGCAAAGTGTTTATTTTACCAGAGGTATTTAGCTAAGACAATAAGCCCCACAGGCAAATGAACAGTATATGCAAAAATCTGAGAGTTGGTGGGAAGATAATAAGAGAACAAAAAAATATGGAAAAATAAAGAAAGCACCCAAGATATTTTAAAGCTGACACTCTCTAAATGTATAACCCAGCAGATGCTCTAAGAGGTGACAACCTCTTTTTTCAGTACAAGGATATTCCCCAAACAGCACAGATCTGTCAATAAAGGTTTGTGCTGCTGGAGAAGGGAGGTCTCAAACAAGGAATGAAATGCACATCAATTTCAGTTAAGAAATGAAAGGGCAAAATTTAATTTTCTCTCAGGCAGGAATAAACTGCAACTCCTAAGCCACCACTGTCTGCATAAAAATCTTTGAAAATCAACCTGATTKCAGACTGGAAAAGGTTGTGCCTCCTCCCCTGAGAAAATAGGCAATATTATAGACTGAAAAACAACACAACCTCAAGAAGATACAYGTGCTGATGAAGATATCTATGCAAATTTTAACTACTCTTTGACAGAAATGAATGAGAGACCTTGTAAACAGCAATTATAAAGGCTCCAATTAAGGCCTTGCCTATTATTAACACCTCACCAGGACATATTTACCCAAGCCTGTATTCAGTTACTTAATTAAAGCAATACACAACCAGCAATTTAAAATTGTTGCTCTCAGGTTTACAAAATGACTTAACTTAGAACCAGGATGACAAAAATTTGCAGGGTTTGATGCAAAACAACACAGTGAGTCTACAGCAGCTTCTGTGATTAGACATTCACCAGTATTTTATGGGATTTGAATGCAGAATTAGGAATTGGTTGAGTGGCAGAAGTGACCCAGGCACAAAGGAGAGCATGAGAACCTCTTGGTATCCATCTGCTGATTGCCTAACAAATGAGACACCACAGMACAGGACCTGGCTGATTAGTTACAAATTAACTGCAATAATAATCAAGGTTTTCAGATAACTTATCAGCTGGGGCAATACAGCCCATACATCCTGACCAGTGAGGGAAGGGCAAAAACACCTGAGCCAAGTCTTGAAATTGTGACCAAAGCAACACCATCCTAACAGTCYTGGGCAGAAAGTTCCAAAAATAAAACTTTTAAGTGGCTCATCTAACAAATCACATGGCAGGGAGGTGGTCAAGGGCCAGGGATGGTGGCATGGCAGGGRTGGTGAGTCAAATGCCTGACTTGAAGCATTTTGGGGAAATAAGGAACAAAGTTGAGAGATGAGCTGGAAAAAGGAACTCAAAATCAGCAACCACACTCAGAAAAGGGAACTACACAAGTGATTTAATCCMAGTAATTTTCTCTGCTGAAAAGTGAGAAGGTTGGGCTTCTGACACTTCCTCAAATAAACCTCCAGCTTCCTGTGCTGTTGCATTTCCCAGGTGGAACTGACCCTTCCCAGCCAAAATGGGAATAATAAATAATTATAATAATGAATGGGAACAATCCAGACATTATGAGGGCACATTCCTGCTGAAAAGCACCAACGTGGCCAAGAGAGAGCCAACACCAAGCACCTGGCTCACAGACATGCCCCTCTCAAGTTTTTGGGGCCAGTAGGTCAAAAAGACTGCTCCCATCTGCTCAGCACTGGTGAAACACCACACCCACAGCACCACGGCCAGTTCTGGGCTCCAAAGCACAGGACTGATACAGATCTACTGGAATAAATCCAGAGAAGGGCTGTGAAAATTAAGGGATGAGAGATTCTTGCATACAATGAGAAGCTGAGGGTGCTGGAATTGTTTTGTCTGGAGAACAGAGGCTGGGGAGGATCCCACATGTGCAAATACCAGATGGGAGGGWGTAAASAAGACTGAGCCAAGCTCTTCTTGGTGGTGCCCARGGAAAGGACAAGAGGAACAGGAATAAATTTAAACACAGGAAATTCAGTTTATAAACAGAAAGAATCCCCCTTCTTATTGTAAGAGTGATCAAAYTCTGGAACAGGCTTCCYGGAGAGGTTATGGGGACTCCATCCCTGGATTTATTCAAAACAAGCTCTGGACCAGAGCTCTAGAGGTCCTTTCCAATCTGAACAATTCTGAGTAAAAATCATCATTCTACCCTGTCTCAGAGCCCTGCAATCCAGGGCAGCTGGCATAGACTATCAGGACTCAATAATTTTTCTCAGAAACGACCAGTTTAAAATTTATGCAGAAGTGAAGAAAGAATTCAGAGATGATTCTATAAAATGAGATAAAATCCTTAAATGAAAAAGCAAGTGGAATCAAACCCCTCAGACTAAAAAAAGCTTCAGGTACAAGGTTTCATCTCAGAGCAGAAAAAGCCAAACAAGTTAAGTGTTATCTTGATCTCTGAAGTTAATTGAAGTAATGCAATAGGAAACCTGACACTGAGTCTAAAGCTACAGCATGACTAAAGCCCGAGGAGAACTCAAGTCCCAGAGGAATTTATGTTACAGGGTAAACACCAMGGAGAGTAAAGCGTGAAGGATCTTCAGCCTCAGATCAGCAAAAAGCTGCTGCAACATTCAGGGCTGCCCTCCTGCCTCAGGTGGATTTCACAGGGCACAGAACAACTCACAGAGCACGGACTTTGAACGCCTGAGGAATAATCCTCCCTTAAGTGAGGCTTTCCTGCTGTTCCGATGGAGCTTACAGCAACTGGCCCGAGCACTCACAATCGAGGCTTAGGGCTGTGTATCTTAACTAAAGGTCTTTGCAAAGGAGTGAGAATAGAAGAAGATTAAGGGGATCATACCAAGTTCCAACAAAGTCACCTGCAAGTTTTTAAGGGCTTACAAATAAAAAAAACAAAACCAGGAAACACTCAAATTAAGAAGTTTCTCTTGTATTGAAAGAATAATATACCTACTAAGATACAATATCTGTATTCCACAGCAAAATGTGCATTTTATGTTATAGTTAAGACTACAGTCAGAAAGAAACTTAAGCTGTCATATAAACTAAACGAAAAAAGTACCAGGAATAAAATCATTTAAAGATAAGCTCTAGTTTTTGTATTTYGAAAATTCAAGACAGCAGCAGTAGTTAAGGACCGCTGGCTAAAACTGTTGTCAACCCCTATATAAACTGGCACTAAGTATGATACTGGAATCTGTTTAAACTCAGCATCAGACATCTCTCTCACAGAATATAAAAAATTTTTACTAGAAAACCAACTATATTATAAAAACCAAGTCAGGCAGCAGAGAAAAGCACTGAACTGATCTCTACAGAGCAAGAAGATAGAACTTGCTGGATTTTTCCCTCCCAATGCTTCGGAAAAGGTAGAAGAAACTTATTTTAGACAGGATCAACAAGCYTGACTCTCAAATTGGAATGGTTTTATCAGGGTTTTACCAGGGCACTGAGCCATTCACTATCTGTCTGCAACACCACAGGGAGGAAGAACAGAGTCACAGAAAATTCTGTTCCCCCTGAAAGCAGAAAGCAAAGCAAACAGGCGGTCACAGGCAAGAAAATTAATCTCTTGTACCTGATCTAAGCAACAGCCTAACGCCCCTCTGGCTGGGGAGAGAAACACCAGGATAAAGAATCGTTAGAAGGAAAAAAACAACCAAAAAAAAAAATAGATGCGT